AATGTCCAAGGACTTATTTGTTCAAAAAATTGTCCAATGACTTATTTAACATATTTTGGAATGTCCAAGGACTTATTTGTTCCAAAAATTGTCCAATGACTTATTTAACATATTTTGGAATGTCCAAGGACTTATTTGTTCCAAAAAATTGTCCAAGGACTTATTTAACATGTTTTGGAATGTCCAAGGACTTATTTGTTCCAAAAAATTGTCCAAGGACTTATTTAACATGTTTTGGAATGTCCAATGACTTATTTGTTCCAAAAAAAAGTACAAGAACTTAATCATTCCAAACAAAAAAAGTCCATTGGTTGTTATTGTACTTTTCCCAAATATTTATTTCTAAACTATTCTATTTTAGACAATTTAACATTTATTATATTATTAAAATATTTAATATATTTAGTAAAATATTATTTTTCTCGTCTTTAATCTTTAATTTCAATATTTTTTTTGATGTTTTAACAACCCATAAATTATTAAATTACCCTTGTTTAGGTTTTCTTTTTCTTTTTTTCATACGCTGACCACGAATGACAAACCTTCAAAATGTTTGCTACGCGTTTCTCTTTCTTTATATGGAGTTCCACTCAAGTCCCCATCGATCCATCATCACGTCACTTCACTCCTCCTCAAAGCTCAACTAATAATTTATTTGAATAAAGTTTTAAATAAAACTTTTTAAAAATTCATCTAAAAGGATACATGTGTCATTTGTTGTATACAAATAATATATAAAAATTCATTTATTTTTACAAAGATCATTTAGTACATTTAAATAAGTCTTTATTCATGATTTTTTATTATAATTTTTGTGATTTAAGCATGATTAAAATTTCATTTATTTATTTTTTATTTTCTACAACATTTAAAATAAGTGTAATTTAGTTGTTCATTTAAAATATATTTTTTTTGAATTAGTTTATTTAAGGATTTATTACAATTTTCATCAAAAATCATAGGTGATATCTACAATTAATAGAATTTTTTTTTCAAAAAAAAAATCACTAATTTTCGCCAGTGTATTATATGTGATATCAATTACAATGAAAAATTATATATGATACTGATTATCTACAACATTATATATAATATGTGTAAATTATGAATTATGTTTTCTCCGTGTGATTTTACACATTTTAAGTGTGTTTTTGCTACACACCAGTTTTCATTATTTTTCTTTTTTTAATGTTTAATTTGAATAATTGTTTTTTCAAACTTTAAATCACATATTTTTAAATATGTGATTTGACGAAAATTGTAATTATTTTTAAATAAAAAATGAATTCTTTAGATGAAAGTTAAATATGCTTATTTTAATTGTATTAAATATAATTTTTTTAAATAAAATTTTAACTATATAGAATCATAAATATGGTAAAAGTAAAATCTTAAATAAATGTCTTAGGGGTCGTTTACCAAACATTTATCCGGTAAGTGCTTACTTGTAAAA